CAAAATTAAGGTTTCCAGAAAGAATCAAACATGCCATTGCTACAATACTCCAGACAGTACAGACTACTAAATCCTCCCTAAAGCATACTTATACTGACACGGTGCTGTCATTAGAGGCCAGAGTTTGAACTTGTTTGGCTGCCTCGAGCACGGTGAATGGTGAACCTGGCTTTCATTTTGCTTCTTGCTGACTCATCCTTGGGAGTGCATGTGCCTTATAAATTAAGTCCCTCGGGGCAATTTCTTGCTAAGCACGGTGTCATTTTAGCCTTGAAGAGAGGAGCACTGACCCCTGGATCACATGGCTGTGGCCTTGGGTTCAGCTTCAAGAAGAGATTAGCTGAGGAAGAGCTGAGGACAGGACAGAGGTATTGGAGGGTGAGAATAATAGACTCGCCCCCTGCCACTTTGACTGCTAACTAGCATAGCCCTGAGGCAGGGGCCACTGGCTTCTCTGCTCTCCCATTTACAAGGTATTTTTAGGAGAAGCGTAATGGAGAGAATAGAGCTTAGCTATTGAGATAAATTCGATAGAAAAAGAGTAAGAAGCCAGATCTCATTGTTAAGAAAATGTTCAATTTTCTTAGAGTGCCTATTTTGCCCCCTAGTTCTTTATAACATTGGCAGGTAATGTCTTGTCCCATTTTTTGTTGTTGTTGTTGTGCTGTTATTTCAGATTTTTTTTTCACTTTTATCTAATAATGCTCAGACCTGCTGTGTACTTCTTACTTCTACGTGAGTCCTGCTTCCAAAGTATCTGAGCTCACATACATCCGACTCCTTCCATGAAAGTTGTCTTATTAAAGCCACGTGGGTGGGGATGGGCCCTCTGGCCTTCACTATAGAAGCTGTTGTTCACTCGCTCAATCGTATCCAGCTCTTTGTGACCCCATGGACTGCAGCACACCAGCCTTCCCTTCACTAGCTCCCAGAATGTGCTCAAATTCATGTCCATCAAGTCGGTGATGCCGTCCAACCATCTCATTCTCTGTCACCCCCTTCTCCTCCTGCCTTAAATCTTTTCCAGCATCAGGGTCTTTTCCAATGATTTGGCTCTTCCTATCAGGTGGCCAAAACACTGGAGCTTCAGCTTCAGCATCAGTCCTTCCACGGGTTGATTTCCTTGAGGATTGATGAGTTTGATCTCCTTGCAGTCCAAGGGACTCTCAAGAGTCTTCTCTAGCATCACAGTTGTAAAGCATCAATTCTTCAGCTACGATAATAAAACCATGTGTCTTTACTGATTACTCAATATCACTTGTAGATTGTGTTTGTACAGTATTTGCCAAAATTAATGTTTCAAGATGATATAATAATTGCTTTGTTCTCTATAAGATGCCAAAATGCGTGGCATAAGTCTTGAGAGATTTGTAGGTTATATCAACATGAGCTGTGTGAGGAAGGCTCTGGGCAAGGAAGTGGCATCACTTATTTAAGCCTTCCTCAATAACATAAAAACCCTCAGGTCCTACTATATATTTCCCCACTTTTTTATATCACTCTGGAACATCTTATTGACGTATAAGGTGCTTGAGGGATGCAGCAAAGCTCCTAGAAAACTGCGCTGCATGCCTGCAGCAACCAGCGAAAGAGCAGCCCAGGCCTGCACCCCAGGGTCCCAGGGTCCCCCCTCCCCCAGGGGAGCCCTGCACTGCCTCCTCACAGCAAGGACCAGCCCCCCTGCCTTGTGCTGTGGGGAAGGAGAATCACACAATGTGTACTCCTCTGTGTCTTGTTTCTCTCAACAGTGCTCATGCAAAGTTCATCCTCATTGTTGGGCATAGTTATAGTGGACGGTTCCTGTGTGATGCCCCACTGTGTTAGCATGCCACAGCCCACCTGCTTCTCGTCCTGACAGCTGCTTAAACATTCCTGACTTTGGTTTATTAGGAAGGCTTCCCAGGTGGGGCTAGTGGTAAACAACCCACCTGACAATGCAGGACACATAAGAGATGCGGGTTCTATTTCTGGGTCCAGAAGATCCCCTGGAGAAGGGCATGGCAACTCCAGTATTGTTGCCTGGAGAATCCTGTGGACAGAGGAGCCTAGTCTGCTACAGTCCATAGAGTCACAAAGAGTTGGACACGACTGAAGCGACTTAGCATGCACATGCACTGGTTAGACGTAGAAAACAAATCTATGATTACCAAAGGGGAAAGGTGATAAATTTAGGGATAAATTTAGAGTTTAGGATTAACATATGCACAATACTATATATAAAATAGATGAATAAAGACCTACTGTATAGCACAAGAAACTACACACAATACTCTGTGATAACCTGTATGGGGAAAGAATCTGAAAATAACTAGATATGTGTATAACAGAATTACTTTGTGATACCTAACACAATGGTGTACATCAGCCCTACTTCAGGTTTTTAAAAGGGCTAGAGCTGGTTAGACTCACACGTAGAGAGAACAGCATATTAATAGTGAGATTAATAGTGAGAGGGGAGGGGCAAGATAAGGATAGGGGATTAAGAGGCACACACTGTTATGTACAAAATAAATAGGCTACAAGGCTGCATTGTGTAACATGGGAACACAGCCAATAGTTAATTTTTTGTAATTGTATTTATTTGTTTAGTCATTCACTTTGGGCTTCGCTGGGTCCTCGCTGCTTTGCGCCAACTTTGTACAGTTTGAGCGAGCAGGGGATACTGCTTGCTGTGGCGTGTGGCTTCTCATTGCCGGGGGCTTCTCTTGTTGCAGAGCACAGGCTCTGGCCATCCGGACTTCAGTAGTTGCAGCACAGAGGCTCTGTAGTTACAGCTCACGGATTCTAAGGTACAGGCTCAGAAGCTGTGGCACGTGGCTTAGTTGCTCCATGGAATCTTCCTGGACCAGGGATCTAACCAGGGATGTCCTCTGCATCGGCAGGCAGATTCCTATCCACTGTGCCACCAGGGAACTCCAAGCCAATATGTTATAACTATAAATGAAATATAAACCTTTAAAAATTGTGAATCACTATATTGTATGCCTGTATATTGTGCACCAACTTCAGTTCAGTTCAGTTCAGTTCAGTGGCTCAGTCGTGTCCAACTCTTTGCGACCCCATGAATTGCAGCACGCCAGGCCTCCCTGTCCATCACCAACTCCCAGAGCTTACTCAAACTCATGTGCATCGAGTCAGTGATGCCATCCAGCTATCTCATCCTCTGTCGTCCCCTTCTCCTCCTGCCCCCAATCTTTCCCATAATCAGGGTCTTTTCCAATGAGTCAGCTCTTTGAATCAGGTGGCCAAAGTATTGGAGTTTCAGCTTCAGCATCAGGCCTTCCAGTGAACACCCAGGACTGATCACCTTTAGAATGGGCTGGTTGGATCTCCTTGCAGTCCAAGGGACTCTCAAGAGTCTTCTGCAACACCACAGTTCAAAAGCATCAATTCTTCTGCACTCAGCTTTCTTTATAGTCCAACTCTCACATCCATACATGCCTACTGGAAAAACCATAGCCTTGACTTGACAGACCTTTGTTGACAAAGTAATGTCTCTGCTTTTTAATATGCTGTCTAGGTTGGTCATAACTTTGCTTCCAAGGAGTAAGCATCTTTTAATTTCATGGCTGTAATCACCATCTGCAGTGATTTTGGAGCCCCAAAAAAATAAAGTCAGCCACTGTTTCCAGTGTTTCCCCATCTATTTGCCATTTACTTCAATAAATAAATAAACAGGAAAATTAATATTAAGGTTAAAAGTAAATAGTGCTGTTTTCAACATTATAGTATACCTCTTTTGATGAACTTATAAGCAAATCTGTTAAATATAGATGTAAGAGTGAGTAGCTGTACTATAAGGTATTTATACTTCAGCTTTAATAAATATGGCCAAAGTTTTCCAAATTAGTTATATCAACTTTAAGTCTTTTTTCTGCACACATTTATTCAATGATCATCTCATGGAAAGGAATATTATTAGATCACTGTTTTCTTCATTGTAGGTTTCAAAATCATGAATGAGGGTCAGACAGAAGGATTGTGACCTGTTTATATGAATTTGCCACACAAAATAGAATGTTTTGATTTATGACTTAAAAAATTTCCTCTCAGGAGAGTGGAGTAAACACTTGGTCCCTAGAGATGTTTGCAGACTTATTGCAAAGGAAGAAATTCACCAAAATCTCTGTGGAAAGTAACTTCAGGCAGTCTCTCTGATAGACAGTTCAGAGGGAAGCTTCCAACAGCAGTCACCAAGCAGGCAGCAAGGACCAGGGAGAAATGCTAAAAACAAGAACCAGGCAACCTAAGATGACGTCTCACCTCTGCCAACCTTGTGTTAACTTCTTAATTTATATGAGCCTTTGTTTTCTCATTTACAAAATAAGGGTCTTAACCCAGACTCCAATTTGTGAGAGTTACACGAAAATACTTTGTATCACATGTATGGGGTGTAATTATGAGAAGTAGACCAAGCCTGTGTTTTACGTCAAAGAGCTATGAGCGTGTTCTTAGATGCCAACGTTAAATCCTTATGTGCTTTCTGGTCATATTCCGGAGAATACATTGCCCTACCTTGTTTAAAAGTGCCTTCATTGTTAGCATTAGAAGTACTGTGTGGTTCAACCTCAAGGGATTTCAGTATACCACTAACATGCCCTGGTGGTCATCAGTTAACCAGCTAGCTTACTAATTAATTTACTAATTGCACTATGGATTTCCTTTCTCTGACAAGTGTTGATGAAGTATGTGCTCCCAGGAGGCATAGTCACCTCTCATGTCTCCCCCTAACCAGTCCCAAAACTCCTGTGTTAGGTTTTGCAGTGCTTTTACTTTTGATATGAGTTATTTTGAAAAGCAGTTCTTCAGATGTGATGGAGTATGTATGACAGTTAGCCGAAAATGCCAGAGTCTTCTTCAACTCAGCTGTTTATCGGGGCTGAACATGACAAGGAAAAGATGCTTCATCTGTATGAATTTGCTTATCTCCTCCTCATTGCATTCTCTCCCCTTCTCTCTTTTGTTTTTCTTTCTTATGTCCCCATGTGTGCCGTGTGCAGTGCGTTTGGCGTAGTTACGCAGCTGATGAGAAATCTGTCTCCGTTGCAACTTGGAAGCCGCACCTGAAGGCCTTGCACACCTGCAGCCCCACCAAGTAGGTGTCAGTGTGACAGTCGGCGCTGTAGCTGAGTCTGCTTAAGTTTGTAAAACAAGCCACACCCACAACCACACACAGAGCCACAACCACACACAGACCCACAACTACACACATACTCGTGCCGATTCAAGGATTGTCTTATGCTCTGTTGTTTTTTGAGATTCAAACCTGTTTGGTAACAACTCAGATGTGAAAGTGAGTGTACTCAGCATCATGGCTCACCATCCACAGATTGGGCTTAAAGATGAAAAGAATCTAAACTTTATAAAGATTTATTTGTACTGTTTCATGCTTATTTTCTAACATCTCATTTCATAAAGCCCACCAGAATTCCTATAGTAAGTGCTGTGGTTCTGGAAAACCAGTGACTCTTAAAACGGCCCCCATCATCTGACCAACCAAAGGCTGTTTGGGAAGCATTGTGTCTGCACATTTAAGCCCCTCAAGGTCATTTCTCCTTGAGGGATGCCTCACGGGACAGGCATTGAGCTTCACTTGCAGATCAAACAGACATCAATAGCAAAACACGAGAAGAGGTGGGCACAGTGAGGTGAAGGCAGCACTCCAGTACAATTTGGTATTAGTGTTCAAAATTTAAAGAGATGTTACTTCCATTCACACGATATCCACCAAATAGGTCACCTGGCTATGCTTCAGCTCAGGTTGGGGAGTTGCAACGCCTCTCTGTTTGGAAGGGAGGGGGCTGGGAAGATGCTACACATACTGAGGGCTGCCACAGCATCTTTAATTCCCAAACAGTCCCTAGTCCCGGAAGCCTGGACTCTGGTTCAGCTGACACACAAAACCATAATCACCATCTAATTAAAGAAATCCTCAGTGAAACTAGCAAAGCCGGTGTCAGAGACGGGCTCGCTGTGAGTCACCCGCTGGACTAGTGGTCAGTCCCCGGATTGTTCAGAGTGCATTTGAGCACCTGCTGTGTCCTTTCAGGGCCCATTAAAGCCTTAATCCCAGGGGCCTCATGGGATTGGAGGCAGCTGATGACTGTGATGGTCCGAGAAAACTCTTCTTAGCAGAGTGCGGGAGAATCAGCTGGGGAAGCCCTCACGGCTGGTTCCCTGGAGCCACTGTCTCCCAGGAGATCTGTGGGACCGTTGTTAACTCATGGGATCTGTTACAATGCTTTCCTGCCCTGCCCTGAGCCTGGGGTTCACATCCATACGTATATGATGAGAGCTGGCGAGGTCACCTCTGACCCTACGGGGGAGGTCAGGGTCACACCTCTGCCTACACCGGTGACGGAGATACACTGACCCAGGATGCTGGAGGGGGCGCAGTCTCAGCAGGCATAGAATCCACTTTTCATTCAGATCTCAAAATTCAGTGAAATTCCCCTTATTCAGTATTAGATTCTTTCAAAGTTTTAGTGTTTTAAAACAAAAAAGGAATATAACTGGTGTGCCATCTGTTCCTTGGGTATATATGAATCAAAAACGGGAATTGTATAGAAAGTGTATGTCTCATCTCTAGGAAGGTTGCTGGGGAACGTGTAAGAGGTAGGCTAGTGGGAAAAAAAACAAAAAAAACAAAAGAAGCCTCTCGAGTGACAGGAGAGTGTGGGCTATTATTTTATTATGTGTGATTATTTGGCTTCCCACTGCCTGCCGTTTTTGGTTTCAAAGCCATCCTGAAACCTGGAAAAACTATTCAATAATGAGTCAAATTCTTGCAGTGCATAAACTGTTGTTTTATTCCCATGACTTCTTTTTTTCTGGTATTTTCCCTGTTTTTTAGTGGGAGTGGAGAACTTTGCGCACATACCTGCCTTCATCCTGCCCACTGTGGCCATCAGCACCCTCCCCTCCCGCTCGTCTCCCTGCCCTGGGAGCCTCTGGGTCTCAGCCTTATTTATGAATGGCAGGCGTGTGCCCAGGAGAACAATAGCCACTGCAAAGCTCCTCTAGCTTCAGTTCATAGTTTATTGTCCCAAACGGCATGGTTCTTAATCCTTGCTGTTATTGTCGTTTTTTGTTAAACCATTGAAAACATAATGGTTAATTATGGACTCTTTCTCAAGGAAAATATTCAACACCTAACAATCAAAATTTTGCCTTCAATTTTAATGTATTTACAAACTCCCTGAAGACAGGTTCAGAACCTTTGCTTTAGAAACAATCCTACTTTAATCAAATGTGTAGGTTTGTCAGGAGGCTAATTTACAATGACTTAGAGGGATAATTTTACATTTGTAACTAACTGGCTTACTGACTGCAGAGAGATATAGTAAGAAACAGATCAAAACTTCTTACTCACATCAGGAATTTCCTAGAGTGTTTCAGGTTAAGAATCTCTGAAGGGAAAGTTCATTCACCCATTCACGGGTTCCTGAAAACATGAGCACAGTCAGGAAGGAAGGGATTTCCCTCTGCCTTTCTAGGTCCTTCCAGATGGTCTAAGAATTAAGTTGACATGAGACAGATTAACAGGAGAAAATCAAGAGTTTAGCAATATGTTCACATGAGAGGGGCCCAGGAGAACTGAGTGATTCGGCAAAAGTGCCCAAACCCTCTCCTTAAACACCACCTTCAGCTGAAGACAAAGGAGGATGCTGGGTCTGGTTTGGGAGGAAGGCAGTGCACCTGGAGACAGGGAAGCAGCTGCTTGGTAAAGGAGTGCTGGTTGGACTGGCAGAGAAGACAGGACGTGGACAGGACTCTGATGGAGGCACTGTCACCTTCAGGCCCTGCCGAGCGTCCCACCACACCCAGCCCATCGTCCTCACAGACCCCTCTGGCGACAGCCCTATTCTGGGGAAACAGGCCCTTTATCTGAATTCTTTTAGGTCGAGTTAGGGAGAGATAACAAGAAAAACTTCCTAAGACTTCCATTTATTAAAAAAATAATCAGCCTGAGGCTCAAGACGGAGGGGATATATGTATCCCTGTGACTGATCCGTGCTGATCTATGGCAGAAACCAATACAATACTGTCATTATCCTTCAATTACAAATAAAGAAAATAATAATCAGCCTGAATTTATGCTCATGCCAGAGGCACGTTGGGGTGCCAGATTTGGGGGTGCCACGTTCTCCCCTATAGCACCTGCTGGGTCACAGTGCTGCTCTGGGCATACGGAATGCAGCAACGGTGGAAGAGGAAAACCAGGAGAATCTCAGGCTGAGCTCAGCGAGTCTAAATGCAAGAGATACTGGGAAGAGACAGCAAAAATAAATAAGCAAAATATGTAATAGAGTAGATGATGCTAAGAGCTAAAGAGAAAAGGAAAGTAGGAGAGGAATTGGGGGGGCAGTAGGGGCTATGATTTTAAATAGCTGGTCAGGAGAGAGTATATTATCAACAGCAGGAGCAGCAACAATGGCTTTGTTATCAGTAAAGACCGAAGCCCGAGACCTTGTCCTCCAGGTGAGAGACACCATGGGCTGCCTTGACCTCTCACTGTTATCCCAGGGAGAAGGATGATGGAACAGCTGTGAGGGGGCAAGGGCAGAGATGCTTCTCAGGCCTTCTGGACACTCTCCTTTCTGATCCGGTCCGTCTGACGCATGCACTTTTGAGGTCTTAGTAGTTGCAAAGTTTTGTTTTAATGACAGAAGGATTTGGGGAAGGAACACTTTTCTTGATTTTCATCTCAGAGAGAGTGAAGGCTGTGCAGAGGGTGAAGCACAGGTAACCGTGCTATCTGGGGAAATGAGTCAGATAGTTTATGAAGCTGTGTGGATCATCAAGCTCCCCAGGGCCACGTGGCACCTTAGGGAGTTAGAATTTAGAGATTTTCAACTTCAAGGCCTTCCATTTAGTCATAAGAAGATTGAGACCCACAAGAAAGTGAACCATGTGCCCAAGGACACACAGCTCATTTACAAAGAGTAGGGACCCTACACCATGTTGGGTAGACCCGAATTTGCTAAAACGGTTTATTAGACCACCCAACACTAAGCTAGGTTGTCTATATGCTTAATTTCCTGCAAGGAATTCACATTAAAAAACAAACAAACAAACAAATCTACCTCAACAAGTTATTAACATACAAAACCATAGTACACATGAACTAAAGCAGATTAAATAGCCCCAAAGGCTGCCTGAACCACAGGGACCCCAGCTTCAGTGTAACCAGCACAGCAGTTCTAAGAGTCTCTACTGACGCTGATTAGGTCAGAACCACTTTTTCCTAAACCCTGGATGACTTTGGCTGATGAAGACTCTATAGCTTTCGGTCACATGTGGGCAGTATCTCGGGTCTGTGTCACAAAGAAACACAAGTTAGAAATTTGGGTACATTTATGATGAAGTGTTTTGCTTCTATGGCTCTTGCTTGAAAAGAAAGGATTAATCAAGGTACTTGATTCCCCAGTTTGGTCATTATCACGTGCTGTAAATGTGTTCACCATGTATCATCCTTTTTCTTCTGTCTGCACGCACCTGAAGGAAAGAGCAAGGGGAAGCTTCAAGCAGGTTTGTAATTTCTGTTCTGCTACATGTTTGTTGGTAAATCTGATCCCTCACCTATGTTTTAAATGTGTCTCATGTGAGAAAAATCGATCAACAAATGCAAGGTGATTAAAACTGACCTTTCACAAGATTGCCTGCAAAAGTTGCTGTTGTATTGATTTTCCACCCTCTTGGGAGCGTCTTTCCCTAAGTCACTCAGTGCTTTTTACAATCTGCAGAGCATGGGACATTCTGGGGAAAAATAATAATTATGGTCTTTGGTTGTTCCTTGCTGCTATTTTCCCAGAGTCTGACTGAGTATTCAGATCCCATGAAGCAGGATAAGATCCACTCCCTTCACCAGGCTCCTTCTTTTAGAGTGAGAAATTGCGTGGTTTGGGGCAGGGGGTGGGAAGGAACAGTGTGTTCAGGAGGTAAGGACACGCTCTATGCAACGTCTCCAGCTCGTTCAGAACTCAGGCGCCCTAATCCTTTAGTTAGGAAGAAGATAATCCTCCCGAACACGTCACCAAATGAAGCTCACTGTACGGTCATTCTTCTGTGCCTTAGAAGGAAATGCTTTATCAGATTAAGTAGCAGGAAGCTAGACCCAGAGGAAAGAGCATGTTTTAACCTGGGTTCACGACTGCCAAGAAGGATCAGGGTTTGAGAACAGAACCCAGAAGGAGAGAGGCACATGGATCCCAGCCCAGATGGGGTGAGGAGGGACAGAGGAGAGCCAGCAGGAAGTCCCAGACTCTGGGATTCCTTCCCATGTGGGATGCAACGCTTTTCCGGTCATGACCACCCATCCCAGTAAAGAAGAAACACAGGCACCCCCCTGCCCTGGGCTGGCCTCTGAGTGGGGAGCCATCAGGGGTCTGGGGATTGTGTCATTAGCTTTGTGCTGTTATACAAATGATCATTATCTATTTATCATGATGTATTTATTCACTCCTGAAATCAGAGTTGCGAGTTCTCTAGAGGTGATAAGTCTCTGGGTCATCCATTTCTGCATTATCTCAATCAACACCTAAAACAATTATAAACAGCAGCATAGACACGTTTGCTAATGACGAGAGGTAGATGTGATTGGATGCACCCACTTGTCAGGGTGGGGAAGCCCCCATGGATTCTGGCACGGGAGACGCTTCTTTCACGCGGCTGATACAGAGTAAAAGCAGAAGGCGGTGGTGCTCTCCAGGTGGTATTTCCGGAAAGTTTTCGTGGCTCAAAGAGTTGCTCTTCACTTTAGAAGTATTTGTGCCCAAAGAGAAGAACTGGGCTTTAGACGCTGGATAAGTTGGGTTGAGCAGCTGTACCCCTCACGTCCTGCTTCGTGTAGACTCCACGCAACCCCACTCTCTTCCTGGGTGGAAATTCTACTCGAGACAAGTCAAACAAAATAAATCATAGTCACCGTGAGCCATTTTGGTCTCTTGGGTGACATTCGAAGTTTTCTTTGTCTTAAGGGCCATCGATTTACAGGTTATCTCAAAGAGGATCCTGTCAATTTATAGTCAGTGTGAAAAAAAAAAGGTCCCTATTGTCTCCAAGTCCTCAGGGAAGAGACCCTCTTTGGCAGGCATGACCTGAAAATCAGGTCGCCTGTCTGGGTTTCGTTCTCCAGAGGGGACATTTGTAAATCTTGTGGTGGTTTTGCTTCAGCACAGCCGTGAGTGAGGGGCCACCCTGGGCTGACAGCGACACTGCCCTTCTCCAAAAATCACCGAGGCAGAGGGCACAGACTGCAGTCCCAGTGTCCAAACATGAACTGACCAGACTACAACCAAACATTCTAAATGCCGTGACTAAATGCCGTGATGCTCGTGTTATTTATATACCTAAAACGTTACACTGTGTTTACCTAAACATCATATACCATGTTCATATACCTAAAGTGTTAAGATCTATTCTATATGGTTGGGGCTGAGTCTGTCAAAGATTGCCTACCCCCTGTAGACTTGTACTTGGGGCTTCCCTGGTGTCTCAGCGGTAAAGAATCCATCTGCAAAGCAGCAGACACAGGAGATGTAGGTTTGATCCCTGGGTCAGGAAGATCCCCTGGAGGAGGAAATGGCAACCCACTCCAGTATTCTTGCTGGGAGAATCCCCATGGACAGAGAAGCCAGGCAGGCTACAGTCCATAGGGTCACAAAAAGTTGGACATGACTTAGTGACTAGGCAACAAAAAAACAGACTTCAACTGAGCCACACTGCTGGCTCAGAGAACCACACGGAGACATCTAGCTTCTCTGCAGTCTTTGAACATTTGGCAAAAACCACCGTGAACACACCATATGTTGCTGTGTGGTACACGTCTCACTTCACGCTTCACCGGCACACATTGGGGTTTCCTGTTCGCCAGTCCACACATCATGTCACCGTGTGAAGCTATGACAGGGAATGTGCTCGATAAACATTTCTTGGGTGGCATAATAAAATACCCCTGACCTCTAGTACTTTACGTGAAGAGAGAGAAAAGACCAACAAGAGAGGTCAAGGGGAGGAACATAAAAAGAGAGAAAAAGGAAAACTTAACATTCCAGTCATCTGCAGGAAATAAGCTGCAGTCCCAATTTAACGTGACCTTTGTTTCCGCCGCTGTGACCCCCAGGGCAGTGATGTGTTCATGGCACATGCAGACAGGCTGTTGTAACATCAGCAGCACCAGCCCAGGAAGTAACAAATCTGCCCTCCCTCGAGCAAGTGTGCACAAAGGAAGTGCATGCTGATGGTGATTCTCCCTTAGAAGCAGCAGCTCTAGGTCCAGAATACGGCTGGCGAGTGCTGGACCCACGTTCAGACCAGCTGACAGCATTGCTCTGGCTTCAGCTGTACCACTGTGATTCAGGCAAGGGAGTGTGGATACACTGCAGCCAGCCCTGTTATCCTCCAGAGCCTGGAATCTCCTAAATGCTTCCTCGAGGGACCTCTTTGTAAATGCTAAGACCTGGGAGGGACCCAGATATAGGAGAGGCTACCCAGCAGCCAGCACTGTCCCCATTGAGGGGCCAGGACAGTAGATCAGGCCTCTCTCTACACATTCATCTACACCCCTGGGGAACTGGGTTCCCTGCTTCAGGACCTTCTTGTGAGAAGATCTTGACTTCCTACATGGAGGTTAGCTTGTGGTTTCTAAAAACTCGTGCACAGCCTCTCGGGCTAAGGAAAGGCACCCAGTCCCAAGAAGGTGACCGATTCAAAAAGCTTCTTTAAAAATACAGCCTCCAGGAGAGCTTGCTAATCTAGCTTAGCTGAACAAGAGTGACCGTGGTACCAGGTCAGGTGTGAATCACCATCCATCTCAGCTGACCCTGCCCTGTTCCTCTTCTGAAGCCAAAAACGCTGCTTCGTGGGCATGGTTCAGTTGTTTATTCTTCCCTTTCCATCTTCCCACTGAAATAGTTCTCATCCCACGTGTGGTGGTGAATGGTGTCTACTGATTTTATTCTAATTAATCATCCCACTGAGTAACTTTTCCCACTCGTTTTATAAGCTGGGCAGTTCTCTGTTTGGGTATAAATGACCACTTTGCAAGGACAGAATGTCCCTGTAAACGCATCCAGCATCCTCACCTTCCTCTCTGCCACCTCCACCAAGCTGACTAGGCTGTGAGTTAGCTACCAGCATGGTACGAGAAAGCTCTTACTTCTTCCTACCTGTTAAGGTTTTATTGCTCCAAGGACAGATCATACATCAGAGGCTTGGGGATTATCCGTATATCTCCCTGCCTCTGCTAACCCTGTCTGCTTAAGCAACACTCGGCGACTGTATGCCTGCTTTGTAGTTAAACCGCCTTTATGCGGTTCATGAGGCATTAAGAAAGCCCTGCCAGACTTCTTAGTAGACTCTCTGAAGTTCCTTTAACAGGTGCTTGTGAGACAGTTATAAAGATGCGTGTCTTAAAAGTTAAAGCATAAGTGAGACTCTTATTACATTACATCCTGTGCTCTGGTCCACGGGGTGCTTTGCCCGAACCGTTCCTGCACGGTTGCCTTTATTAGGTTCTGAGAAGTGTGACTCTCAGGAGAGAACGCAACAACACTGATGGAAACACCATGCACTTCTATTTCTTCTGCATTTATTTTCCATTATTTATATGTCTTTCTTTTGTGTGCAGTGAATGATCTGCATGGGTTGTTAAACTAAACTCAGGAAAAGGAGACTTCTTTTTTCGGCACAGTCAACTTGTGTCCTTATTGGCAAAAGGTTAGGCTGTTGCTAAAACAGTTTTTTTCAAAATAGTCTCTTTTTCTGTTCACATTTATTGATCGAAGGAAAGGATATAGTCTTTGAAAAGCACATTGTAAGAGTTAATATAAGAAAAATGCTCTTTTTCTAACAAACTAGCAACCTAGAATATTTTCTTTTATCTTTTCGAACGTGTTCTGACAATTGATTCCTTATATTTACACCTTCAGGTTTCATACAAACCAAGAACTTTTTTATTTCAAGGTGGATTCTTTACCAGCTGAGCTATCAGGGAAGCCCCTATTGCAAAGCAATTAATGTTATCTACTTCATTGATTCCTATAAAGATTTTAATAGTTCTAGAATATTTTATTCCTCAATCATTTATACTGCGTTGCACTGCTACTTATTACAAGGGTTGCTATACCCTAAAATATTTATATTCTTATTTTTGTATGCAGCAGATGCTAAGACATAGACTACCATCCTTTGGAATGCCTGTTTCAAAATCTAATTATTTCTACTTAACCATTAAGAACATGGCATCCATTTTGAGCAGCACAATTAATCTACAGTTTGTCCTTGGTGTTTAAATAGTCCATGTACTTGCATATGAACAACGAGGAAGCCAAACAGCTTTGTTTTTCAAGACCACAAGCCCCTGGGCCCTTTGCTGGTTGTGACCGCCTAGTAACGAGCTGCTGTCTCCCCCTCACTCCTAGTCAGGTCTGTAGTCATAAGCAGAAGCTCTTCAGAATACACACCTCATGGAGGCAGAGGTACCAGCATCCCGGCTGCTGCCATGAGATCTGAGAATGCCAACTAACCTCAGGTGCATGACCAGGTCACCCCGCCCTCCACTGAGCCCTGCTCAGACTCACTCTTCTGAGGACTCCTGAATGAGGTTTCCAGCCCGCTTGTATTCCTCCCGCTGCCTGCTGCCTGCTTGGACCCCCTGCGCCCTGGGGATGAGCAGACAGGTCCGAGCGGCCCCTCCTGGCGGTGGATGATGCTGAGCAGTGCACGTACCGGGTTGTGCTGGCTGCGCTGCGCTGCCGAATTGTGCCAGGGGCGAGGATTTGCAGGAGGCTTATCCTGTGAAGGGCGGAAGCCCTTATTAAGCGTAATGGTAACTACAACATTCTGAGTCCAAGAGGATTACCTTGGGGATGCTGTGATGCCACCCAGTCCCTGGCAGGGATCCCCCAGGAGCCAATTGCACGCTGGCCATTTGAGGAACACGAGCACAAGAACCCTTGCAGGGCAGACATGCCTTCTGCCTTAAGATAGCCTGTGGCCAGGGACCAGGGGCTGCACACCATCCATGACCACAGTCACCTTTTGGTTACTTTCTCCAAAGAGAGGCCTCCTTGTTGTTTCTTGGGGATAGGCTTTGGCAACCTTCCTAAAAGAACACTGTCTCATAAGCCTTTCTCAAAAATCACGTTCATAGATATCTCAAAAAAAGCTGAAAAATAATGAAAACGTCACTGGACTAGTGAAGAGTATTTTTTAATCAATGCGTGTTTTCAATAGCAGTCACCTAACCCATTTAATAGTAAGTTCATCAAGGTGCTCTGCTGATTTGCAAATGGGAAATGAACTACAAAAATTAATAAAAGTGAACTTTTTGTAGGAAAACACAAGGACAGATCTTTGACTTGGAAAAGAAAATATTGCTTGGCTAAAAAGTTCTGGATTAGGATATTATTCTTAACAGTCATACTATGTCAGAAGACATATTATGTCAGAAGAAAGAGTGAAAACATTACATCTTTTTTTTTTCTAATTTAGTGTTTAATGTGTTGCGTTCACTTCAAAATAATTCTAGAGAGTATTTTAACATTAGATGTGGCAAATATTCACATACTTTAGAAGGACAAAAGGGGAAAGGGTACCCAGAACTCATTTATATCAACTCTCATGCCTTAAGTAGTACTGAGATTCAGAAAATAATATTATTTCCATTTCCCGTTAATTCTTAAAGACAATATTAAATGTTTTGTAGGGACAATTTTTAAATATTTTATAAGAGTATTTTTTGAAGTTTTTATTATTATAAATAACATTGGTAGATTTAATGCTGATACCTGTTATAGATTTTTTAAACATTTTTAGCAATTGAAATTTTTAAAAAACTAAATTTCATATTACTGGTTTTATAATGCTTTTATCAGTTTCCTATTCATTCAGTTGGCAGAGGAAAGAGAGCTATCTTGAAAGTTTGAGTAATAATTTGCTATTAACTAAACCCAACCTTCTATAGTAATTAACATCTGTTAGTTCCAGAAAAGGTAATGGATTAAAGTATAATGAGACCACTTGTAATGGCAGCTCTGTCGACAAGCCATTCATTAATCTAAATAGAGGTGCATAGGTGCGTTCCTGAACCAGATCATTGTACATTTAAGTAACGGAACAGATGGCCGAAACTGAAAAGAGGTTTGTAGTTTCTACTATTAAAAAAAAAACAAAGCTTGAAAAGAGTGGTCACTTTGAGCACCATCCCTTTGAGGATTGTTTAAACATTGTGAGCTTTGGATGACATGGAGAATGTAGCCTGGGCATAAGAAGATGCAGTTTTATATGTTATTGTTGTTGAATGAATCCATCATTTGATCACACGTTTGTCAACTGCAGAGAAAGCCCTGCCTGATGGGACTGTGTTAATGAGCCCTGAACCGTCTGCCCTGCCTGCCCTCTGCATGCGCCCCAGCAATCCTGCCTGCATCTGCCCTTCGCACAGAGCTGTCAGCCGCAGAGCCAGCATGTGTGTCCTGACCAGGACCTGCTGACCGCTGTAATCCATTGCTCGATGTGTTTTCACATAAGCACACAGAAAACACGGTGTCTTCTTAGAACCCCATTTGTTAAGCAGCTAGGCATGGAAAAATCAATGTTACTGTGCTTGTTAGCTACAAGACATAGACCTGCTAAACACATTTGCTGTTGGCAAGCTTCCACTGGGAACAGTGGACAAGGCAGAAAGTGCAAAAGAACCTGCTCCACGTGGTCTTAGAGAATCCCTGTCCATAAGAATGCTGTCTCCATGTCCCACAAAGGCTGCATCTGGACAGTGGGCCTCAGATTCATCCAGTCCACTGCTTCAGGCCTGAGGGCCCTGGGCCTCTCACTCCGTAAGGGAATCACTTTTTTTTCCCCATAAAAATATAAATGCACTCATTTTTTTTTTTTAATTTTTGGAGTAGGGGTGATTTAAAACATTTGTTAGTTTCTGCTGTGCAGGAAAGCTAATCAGTTATATATGTATCCACTCTTTTTTAGATTCTTTTCCTATATACACCATTACAGAGTGTTAAGTAGAGTTCCCGATGCTATATAGCAGGTCCTTATTAGTTATCTGTTTTACATATAGTAGTGTGTATATATCAGTCCCAATATCCCAATATTCTGCTCCCCACAGTCTCACTTTCTAATGAATAATATAGTACTTTATAAATGAATAAGAACACAGAACTTTGTACAGTTCATCTGATCCCCATAAGAGTCCCTCATGTACGTTGCTATTTTTATCTTCAAGTTAGAAGAGAGGCCTCCAAACCCAGGTCTCTGATTCCAGCCTGCCCTCCCGGCACCTCACACCCCACTCACACTCAGGAAGGCCTGGAGACTGCCTTGTTAGCACTTCCTTTATCAACCAACCACAGTTTAGGCCAAGCTGGCGTCTGAGAACTGAATGTGAACAAATATAATTCACCAGGAGCTGCCACAGCAAATCAATAACCTGTTTAATAGCAGGAGTCTGTGTTGGTGAACATGACCTCTCATTCTGTTAATCCATCATCCGGTTCGTTATAAGCTGAAGCTGGTCTACCTTGTGTGGTTTTTGTCTAGCAAGAATAAATGTGGTGTTAAGTGTTGTGTGTCTAATATTGTCTGCAGTACTGCCAGCTGCTCTGAGACTGCATGGATCTGGAAGTCATAATCTTGCCTGGAATATAAAATGCATGCAGACTCTGTGTGCATGTGTAACTGTCATCTCTGTTTTCCTGTAGAAATATTTTAGAAATTACAAAGAGATATGATCCCAAATTTTTTAAAAAATAGCTTTTTTTAAGTTTCAAAAGTTGAGGTTAAAAGCTAAAATTTGTCTCTAAGGCGAACACCAAACCAGTTCTAGGGTCTTTCCAGTGTCATGGTGCACAAACCGCTGTACTATATCTCAGGCCTTTGCTGAATCCAGGAAGGGTGTGCAAAACCATGGGATGAGATGGACTGGAGATGAGTGCAGAGAGATTAAAGACAGCTTAAATTTTCAATAAGGGGAAATGTATCACTGTGCCCCTACTTGCTAGAAACATTTCGTGTAATGCAATTTGTGATGGATCTGTCAATCGTGTGTACAGTCATATCAGCGCATTGATGCAGGTGGGTGGGTGGCACTGCCTGAAATGCACTAACACCGCCCCTGTCGCCCGCAGCCAGAAGCTCAGCTTCAAGGAGCGCGTGCGCATGGCCAGCCCTCGGGGCCAGAGCGTCAAGAGCAGGCAGGCATCGCTGGGGGACAGGCGGTCCCCCAGCACAGACATCACGGCTGAGGGCAGCCCCACCAAAGTGCAGAAGAGCTGGAGCTTCAACGACCGCACGCGCTTCCGGCCCTCCCTGCGCCTGAAGAGCTCGCAGCCCAAGCCGGTGGTGGACGGTGAGTTACCCCGGTCTCTCCATAACCATGTATTACATGAACGCAAGGACCAAGTGGCAGATTCTGCCTGGTGCCACTTGGAGAGAGGGCAGGAAGCAACCCCGGGGGAAGAACCGTGCATTTGTTGCTTGTTTTCTTGGAAGTTTATTGTCTGCCTTGGGCAAGTGTACCCAAGTCGACTTTTGCAGGCAGCTTTGGCAACTGGATCTACATTGCAAGGCAGTCAGAGACAGTAGTGTTCATTCTTCTCTGGTATCTGCAGCATAGCGTTACTTCTCAGGTAGGTTGGGGTCAGGTCAACAGGACCACGCTGCTGATGCACAGATTGTATCCAACCTGCAAGCTCACCGAGATGGCCAGGGGCTCAGGACCCCTGAGATGCAGGAAGAAGGGCCAGAGTCTTTCTGGACCCAGTGGAGGTGCTGGTCCTTTTCTACTGAGCACTGTTTTTCCCTACATCAGGGGCCGACTGCTCATTTTCCTTAGAGAGAGTCTTGTTGAAAGTTCTTATCTGATGATAACTGTAATTCGAGTTCTTCTCCCAAAAGAAATTAGCCTATTTTATTTACTATATTAAGTGGCAGAAGCTTCCTTTGCCAACACATTTTACTGAGTGCCATACAATTTCCACATTTATGAAATAAAACCTTCTTTTTCATTTTGGCTTTCCTTTTAAGAATGCCCCCTGGGATCTCTTATCCTGGGCAAAGGACCAAAATCAAATCGCATCTTCCATTAATGCATAAAAGCTTGCAAAGGCCATCAGCCCCCTGTGCTCACCCCCCAGGCAGAACCTGAATTTTCCCAGGCCCTGAGACCCTGTGGGATAAAATTAACAACCCGGGTCACGATCCCAGTGACCTCAGGTTCCCTCGGTCCCAGGCCCCTCCCGGCCCATTCGGAGCTCCTGGGGCCGCCCTCCCTCCACTCTCAGGGGATCCCCCAGAGTCCCTTGCACACACCTCCCACTCTGCACACCTTTGGATACCCTCCAAGCAGTGCCAGAAGCTGACCCGATGTGACCGCTCCTGATGGAGCTTGCAGCTCCCTTCTGCACTGCACACTTGACCCCTCTCCCACCTGCCCAGGCTCCCCTCCACCTGCCACTGTGCTGAGATGGGAAGGGCTCTCTCCCCAGCACTGTGCCTGCGTGCTAAGTTGCTTCAGTCACGTGCAACATTTTGTGACCCCCCCTCCCCACCGGGCTCCTCTGTCCATGGGATTCTCCAGGCAAGAATACTGGAGTGGGTTGCCATGCCCTTTTCCAGGGGATCTTTCTGACTGTACACCCCACACCAAGCCCCCAAGTACCCAGAGTCACTGGCGGCACAGCTTTTTGGTATCCTCTGGTTTCCACACTCTCCTCCCTAGGAATCTGGCTGAAAGCCCGCGAACAGCTGAGTCGAGAGTTACCAGTAACAAGGCTTATGGAGCACTCAAAATAGACTTGCTGAATATAAATGGACACACATTTCTGGAAGGCAGGTTGGCAAAAGATACCAAAGCCTTTACATCTGCCTGAGCTCGGACGCCTCCCACCCTGCAATTCCATTTCTAATTCCCTTTCTAGAAATTCCATATCCTAGAAGTGAAGTAGCATACATACAATATAATGAAGTAAAAGACATTAGAAAAGATGCTATAATTCTAAAATTATTGAAATAGAAAAAGGATCACAAAAAAATAAATTATTCCATTTTGGCTGTGTGTGTGTGTGTGTGTGTGTGTGTGTGTAAATTCATGTGTTTATAGTAAAAGCTCTGGAGAGATTTACAACAGTGAATGAACAGTTACCTCCAAGTGGTGACATCATAGTTGTATTATGTTTGTTCATATGTATTATTTGGTTCATCTGTATTATCTATTATTTCTACAATGAGCATGTATAGCTTTTGTGATAAGAAAGCAGAAGAGGATTTTCTGTTTAAAAATCAGGTCCTCCTTTCAGATGCTACCTCTTTCCTTCCCCATGGTGGGATGCTGGTGACCCTCCGTTAGTTCTGTCCCCACATGGGTCCAGCTGGTGGCACCAAACCCTTCTCCTTAGCCCAAAGTCCCCCTTATGTTGGTGCTGGCGCTAGTCTTCACCCTGTGTGGATGTGAATTGTCTAATGAGGTTTGATAGCTCCTACTACAAATAGACCCCTTCATGGATCACAGCTTTGTCACGGCAAAGGGCTTCCAGAAGTCAAGGTATCAGTCTTGCCATGCAGGGCCACTCAAGACAGACGGGTCATAGTGAAGAGTTCTGACAACATATGGGCCAGTGGAGGAGGGAACGGAAAACCACTCCAGCATTCTTACAGCGAGAATACCATAAACCGTATGAAAATGCAAAAAGATAGGACACCTGAAGATGAGGGTCCCAAGTCAGAAGGTATCCAATACACTACTAGAGAAGAGCAGAGGGCAGTTACTAATAGCTCTAATTACTAATACTATTAGTAATACTAATAACTAATAACTATAGTTACTAATAGAGAATGAAGTGGCTGAGCCAAAGCAGAAATGACACTCAGGTGTGGATGTGTCTGGTGATGAAAGTAAAGTCTGATGCTATAAAGAACAGTATTGTATAGGAACCTGGAATGTTAGGTCCATGAATCAAGGTAAATTGGATGTGGTCAAAAAGGAGATGGCAAGAGTGAATGTTGACATCTTAGGAAGTAGTGAACTAAAATGGACAGGAGTGGGCATCAGTAATCCAAGTCTGTGCCCCAACCACTGATATCAAAGAAGCTGAAGGTGACCAGTCTATGAAGACCTACAAGGCCTTCTAGAACTAACACCAGAAAAAGATGCCCTTTTCATCTTAGGGGATTGGAATGCAAAAGTAGGAAGTCAAGACATACCTGAAGTAACAGGCAAGTTTGGCCTTGGAGTGCAAAATGAAGCAGGGCAAAGGCTAACAAAGTTTTGTCAAGAGAAGACACTGTTCATAACAAACACCCTTTTCCAACAGCACAAGAGACAGATCAGTTCAGTCACTCAGTCATGTCCAACTCTTTTTGACCCCGTGGACTGCAACATGCCCATCAATCACCAACTCCCAGAGCTTGCTCAAACTCATGTCCATCAAGTCGGTGATGCCATCCAACCATCTCATCCTCTGTTGTCCCATTCTCCTCCTTTCTTCAATCTTTCCCAGCATCAGGGTCTTTTCCAATGAGTCAGTTCTTCGCATCAGGTGGCCAGAGTATTGGAGTTTCAGCTTCAGCGTCAGTCCTTCCAATGAACACCCAGGACTGATCTCCTTTAGGATGGATTGGTTGGATCTCCTTGCAGTCCAAGGGACTCTCAAGAGTCTTCTCCAACACCACAGTTCAAAAGCATCAATTCTTCAGTGCTCAGCATTCTTTATAGTCCAACTCTCACATCCATACATGACCACTGGAAAAACCACAGCTTTGACTAGATGGACCTTCGTCGGCAAAGTAATGTCTCTGCTTTTTAATATGCTATCTAAGTTGGACATAGCTTTCCTTCCAAGGAGCAAACGTCTCTTAATTTCATGACTGCAGTCACCATCTGAAGTGATTTTGGAGCCCCCAAAAATGAAGTCTCTCATTGTTTCCCCATCTATTTGCCATGAAGTGATGGGACCAGATACCATGATCTTAGTTCTTTGAATGTTGAGTTTTAAGCCAGCTTTTTCACTCTCCTCTTTCACTGTCATCAAGAGGCTCTTCAGTTCTTCACTTTATGCCATAAGGGTGGTGTCATCTGTGTCTCTGAGGTTATTGATATTTCTCCCGGCAATCTTGACCCCAGCTTGTGCTTCATCCATACCAGCATTTTGCATGATGTCACACATGGATATCACCAAATGGTCAATACAGAAATGAGACTTATTATATTCTTTGTAGCCGAAGATGGAGAAACTATACAGTCAGCAAAACAACTCCTGGAGCTGACTGTGGCTTAGAGCTCCTTATTGCAAAATTCAGAATTAAATGGAAGAAAACCATTATTCTATTCAGGTGTAACCTCAGTCTAATAACTTATGATTATACAGTGAAGGTGATGAATAGAGTCAAGGGATTAGATCTGGTAGACAGAGTGTCTGAAGAACTATGGACAGAGGTTCCAAACATTGTACGGGAGGCAATAATCAAAGCCATCTCAAAGAAAAAGAAATGCAAGAAGGCAAAATGGCCATCTGAGGAAGCTTTGCAAATATCTGAGACGAGAAGTGAAAAGCAAGGGAGAAAGGGAAAGATATACGCAACTGAATGCATAAGTCCAGAGAATAGTCAAGGAGAGATAAGAAGCCCTCCTTAAATGAACAATGCAAAGAAATAGAGGAAAACAATAGAATGGGAAAGACCAGAGATCTCTTCAAGAAAACTGGAGAGATCAAAGGAATATTTCGTGTAAGGATGAGCATGTTAAGGACAGAAACAGCAAGTGCCAACAGAAGCAGAAGAGATTAAGAAGAGGTGGCAACAATACACAGAAGAACTCTACAAAAAGGATCTTAATGACCCAGATAACCATGATAGTGTGGTCTCTCACCTAGAGCCAGACATCCTGGAAAGTGAAGTCAAGTGGGCCTTAGGAAGCGTTACTATGAGCAAAGTTAGTGGAGCTGACGAATTTCAGCTGAGCTATTTGAGATCCGAAAAGATAGTGCTGTTAAAGTGCTGCACTCAATATGTCAGCAAGTTTGGAAAACTCAGCAGTGACCACAGGACTGGAAAAGGAATTTTTACTCCAGTCCCAAAGAAGGGCAGAAAGTATGTTCACACTACCATCCAATTGCACTCATTTTGCATGCTAGTAAGATTATGCTCAAAAATCCTTCAAGCTGGGTTTCAACAGTGCATGAACCAAAGACTTCCATATGTACAAGCTGGATCTAGAAAAGGCAGAGGAAGCAGAGATCAAATTGCCAACATTCATTGGTCATAGAGAAAGCAAGGGAATTTCATAAAAACATCTACTTCTTCTTCATTGACTATGCTAAAGCCTTTGACTGTGTGGATCACAACAAACTGTGG